TCCAAAGGCAGCCCTGGGACCTGGGCAGAGCTGTGCCTGTCTTGTGGCCCAGCCCCCAGTGCAATGAGCTGCAGTTTCTGCTATTTCTAGAAACCCAAAGCTAAGTCGAGTCCTGTCCATGCACAAGGGTCTCCATATAAGACAGCTTCTGGACTCAATTTGACTCCAGGAGCTCAGGGCAGGAAAAACACCCTGGTCTCATGCTCCTGAGGATCAGACCATGGAGGAGCAGGCTGGGCAATGCCACCAGGGAGAGTTCAGCTGCAAGAGGAGCATGGCAGGAATGGCACCAGCTCCTTTTTGGAGCCATGCAGCCTGGCTAAGAGTGCTGGCATCTTCCCACAGGACAAATCTCAGCAGAAAGTGTCCAGACAAGCAGCAGTGGTGATGACATGCTGGAAATGAGGGGGGAGCAAGCAGGGGCCTGAGGATAAGAGATGCCAGTTCTGGATCCTCTCCATCATCCACACATGTTGTTTAGGCAAGAGCAAACAGTATAATGGAACAAGGTTAAAGGGGCTTTTCCTCACCTGGCTTCCCACCCTTCCCAACCATCCAGATGTCTCATCTCCTGATATAAACCCAGACAGGTCCCTGAGCCCCTGCCAGCCAGATCTGGCCCTTGTGCCAAGGAAGAGCAGCCCCTTGCCTTGGCACCATGGGGTGGAAACCACCAGAATGGGGAGCAACTGGCCCCTGCACTGGCAAATGTGCCCAGGGCATGTCCACACCTCCTGTTGACTCTTGTGCACCAGGGAGTCAAGTGAAGAAGCTGTGTGAAGGTTATGAGAGGGAGAACAGCTTTTAGCCCCCGTAGTGCTGCTCACCTTGCCTGCAGGTCCATGTGGGGAGGATGCATCTCCCAGGAGAGAGATGTGCAACAGATGGGGGATGCTGGTGACAGGAAGAGCCCCTGTACACTGTCTCTTTGGAGGCAAGGGACAAAACCAAGGGAAACCAACATAGCATTTCCCTTGGTGCCCTGCTTGCAGAGAAGCAATGGGTGTTTTCTGCCATGGAACCTTCAATCCTACCTCCCAGCTGAGTATGTCTGTGCCAGGTCAGACCTTGAGACCACAGCAGATTGTGCCTGCTGTGTCTGGTGCCCCTTGAACTCAGCCTGGGCAGCATCCAAGACTGCTTCCACCATGCCAGGCAGACACACGAGTGCTCTCATGATCCCAGCTGTGAGTGCTGACAGCCAGGGAGCAACCTGATGCCTGCTCAGTTTGCTTGCATAGATGCAGCCTTGTCCTTTCTCTCCTGCCTTGTGCACAGTCACCAAGAGAGTGGCTGATTTGTCAGCTCCTTGTGAAAGCTTTGCAGGTATAGCACTTTGTTGCTCCACAACCTCTGAAATACAGGCCCCCAGGTTTGAATAAAGGGCTACAGGGAATCCAGCCAATGGTCCAGAGCCAAAGAGATCCCTGCATGTAACTCCTGAGCTGCTGAGGGTATGTCTGCATCCTACTGCAATGGATTCTGGTCCTGCAGTGAAGTTCGGAAAAGAGCAAGGAAAACATGTCTGGGGACAGAAAAGCAGAAGACTTTTTTACTGAAACTAGCTTTGGGTGGCTGGGAACCAAGGTTTTTGACACAGCAGTGACTAGCTGCTTTCCCTAAGGAAAGTGGCTGCTTCCTTCTAAAGAGATCATTGACATTTTGAATAGAGAAACTCACTCCCTAGTTTACTAAGCACTGAACCAGTCTGTTTTTTGACAGATTTCCAAGAGGAGTTGGGCTCTGGCATGGATGGAGAGGCTGCTGCAGGGCTGGAGGAGGGACAGGAGCCAGGACCATGTACCTGGTCCAGGACAGTATCTCTTCTTGTCCTCTCCTGGGAGAATAAGGGCAGCCTGCTGCCAGAGCTGGGATCTGCATCACCATCCACTTGAGAACCAGAGCAGGCAAGGACCTAGCAGGGATCTGTGGTGTGCAGCTGCATTGCTCTGAGGAGACAACAACTTTACTGCTCCCAGGAGAGATGAGAACCCTGGGCTTTGCAACTGTGCTCTTATGGGCTGGTTGGCTAAGACATCCCTGAAACTCTCATGGAAATGGATTAACCTGCTTCCAACATCCAAGAGATCAGTGTAAGCCCCTTCTGCCTCATTTTCCCTGGTCCATGACACTGTTCTCCTTATCCTGGTAGCCTGCAGCCAAGGATGAATCTAATCCACCCCAGGCTAAGCCCCTCTGGCAGTCCCTGCCCTTCACAGGGACCTGCTCCAGCTGCAGTAGCTCAGTCTCAGAGCAGATCCATGCCAAGTATCCTCCCCCTCCCCAGCCTCGGCCCCCTCACAGGTCACTGAGCAAGCAGCAGGAAGGCTTCTGTCCAAGCCAGCACCAGTTATCCTCATTTCCCACTCACACTGTTTATCTTGGCCCCTCTTCCTATACCAGCCTTCCTTCTTTTGCCCAGGATTGAATTGCTGGGGCTGTCACTATAGTTAATGGTCTGGGACAGAGCTGGTGCTCTGTGAGTCACACTCAGAGACATCCAAGCCCAGGCACTGTGTGTGCACATACCAGGGAGAAGGACCCCAGAGGGGAGAACACCTGACAGAGAAACGAGCCACCAGCTGAGTGAGAGAGGTGACCAGGGCAGAAGAAGGGACAAGATTAAGCTTGGATTCAAGAGGTGTCAGCACGAAGCCATCAGGGCACTCCCTGGCTTGGGCAGCCCAGCCACTGCAGCTCTGTGGATGCCACCCCCTGAGGGCTGTTCCCCTTGCCTTCAGGAATAGTCCTGGGCCATTTCATTCCCAACCTGTGCCCAGGCATGCTGACTGGCACCACACCTGACTAATTGAATGGTGCAGACAGTGACAGCAGTTCTTGGGAGGAGAGGATGGTGCCTGCCTGTTGGACACAAAAATGCTTCATCTGGACAGAACAGCTTTGTTCAAACATCACATGGCCTGGACAAAAGGGGACAAAAGGACACTTTGATACAGCAAGACCTTATTCAGAGTGCACAGGAGACCTGAGGCTCAGGAGGAAAAGGGCCACAGATTCTCAGCTTACTCTTGATGAGTGCTGGGAGCTGGGGTCTGCCATCTGTGCCTTATCCATGGATGTGTCCAGGAGAAGGTATCTTCAGCAGCCTCCACTGCCCCAAAAGTTTATCCTTAGGCTCACCTGCACCCCAATTGCCAGCAAGTGCTGACCTGCCAGAGTAATTAACCACACTGTGCCTCAGTTTCCCTTCACTGCAAGGACAAACCTCCTGTTCCTGCAGCACTTCTTCCATGTCCTCTGCTCCTGTGGAAGCTGAGAGCTGGGGAGCTCCAACTCAGCCTCTGCACTGGCAGGACTGAAGTGTTTGGGGCTGGATGGTGCAACCCTGGCCTGCTCCCTCTTACCCCATCCCTGCACACCCATAGGCTGGCTGAGCAGTGCAGAGCAGGGCGTCTGTTTTCCATAGTGCTGAAGGACTCCCAGGAGAGACCTGCAGCCCAGTTCATCCCCATGAACCCTCCTTCCCCAGCACAGTCCCCTTGCTGCTGCAGCACAGCAGGCAGTGCTGTCTGCTCAACAAACACTCCATGCTGTCTTTCAGGCTCAAACATGAGGCACAACAACTGCCTGCTGGCTTTTCTTTTTATTTAACAAAATCACAGCACAATAAAAAAAAATTTTAAAAAAATTTAAAAAAGAGAGAGAGTAAAGAAGAGGAATACACGTGGAATTGTTGCAATGAACAGATCTAGCAGCAAATAACCTGAGAGCATGACCTCCAGGCATGGGCATGGGGCAGGGCTGGACAGTGGTGTCAGGCTGAGGGACTGAGAAGGGGTGCAATGTCCCGGAGAACAGCAGGGGCTAAGAGCCACATCTCTGCCTGCTCCGCATTAGTGGCTCTATTTCTACCCTTGCAAGGAAGGGCAGGAGGGAAACAGTGCAGGGAATTCAGGAGTGAGAGAGAAACAACATCAGCTACACATTTTCTGAGGGCATCTGGGTGATACTTGGAAAGGATCAGTACAAGGTATGGCCATTGTGGAACATCTCCATCACTCCCCTCCAACCCCAAATCACAGGATTGGGAGCTACTCCACTACCAGCCCACCCCACCCCACTGTCCTATGCTGGCAGCCCTTCCCAGGGATGCAGGAGGTTGGGGCTGACAATGGAAACCAGAGGGATCAGGCTATAGCCGGAGGTCACAACTGCTGTGTTGATGGCAAGTCTGAGAGTCCCCAGCTCACCTCCCAGATCAGTCCATCAAACAGCTTCCAGGCTGCAAAGGTGATGGAGTCCAGCAGCCCCTGGCTCAGCCTGACACAGGCTGCTGGGTCACATTGCAGGCAGAGAGAAAAGGACAGAGCAGACAAGGCTCTGCCCACACTGGCATGAGTCTCAAGGAGGGTCAGCCCTGAAGTTGGAGGTGGAAGCAGATTGGCTCCATTAGCATCAGATTCATAGCTGCGAAATGGTCCCCTCCAGCTAATGGGACCAGCTACGGATTCTTCAGGACCTACTTGCCCTGTGGTTTGCCCTGGAAATGAAAAACCCAACGGATACTAGTGTACTCATTGGGGTATGAGCTTCCCCAGGGTCCCTTCCTCGGCTGGACAAGCCATGGTAGTGATGGACCTGTCAGGCCTTGTAAAGCACCCACCAAGCTCATCATAAGCCCTCTCCATGAAGATGCACAAGCAGCAGACTCCAAGCTTACAGGGCAGAAATGAGAAGGGATTTTGCTCCTGGTGCCGTTTGCCATGTCAACACACCAGACTCAGACAAGAGTGGCACTGGGTAGACAAAAATCCCAGGGTTGCATTTATTTGGAGTGGAAGAGAGACTACTGAGGAGGCAGATTAGTCCCATTTGGAGGCAGGAGGGATGGAGACGAAGACAAATTATCCATGCCTTGGCAGAGCATGGCCCTGCTCTTCCCAGCAGCCCAGTCACAATGGTAAAAACCTGTCTGGCAGTGGGTAAACCCACCCCCTGGGCTGACCTCATGCCTGGCTGGGAACAGGTATGGTTCTTACCCTCTTGACAGAGCTGGCATCCAGTCTCTCTTGGAGACGAATCACCCACGGGGAATGGAGGGGTGCACAGAGGCGCTTGCCCTTTGTGGTGATGAATCTGCCAGGCCATGAGGGAAGAAAACAAGATGTAGTGACAGGCACTTCATGGATGCCCAAGAACAGCTCAAGCTCTCACCCACTCCCCACCTCACTGCCCTCCCCCATCTCTGCCTGTAGATGACTTTCTTCCCTGGTTTTTGTCCCGTGCTCTCCCCTCTCAGCTGCTCCCCCTCTCACTGAGCCTCTGGATCTCCAGGATCTCTTCTGTAGCTCTTCCTATTCCTTGACCCTCAAATCCCACTCAACATCCCTCCACCATCCTGCTCTGCCTTCCACCCTGCCTCCGTGCAAGGTCCATCCCTTGTCCCTCAGCCATCATCACTTGGTCTCTTACACGGCAGCAGGGATGTCACAGCCATCCTGCACCAGCTGGAGCCGGTAATCCTGCACGATCCGCCGCGGGATGGGCGCCTCGCTGGTCCGCAGGCAGCAGTCGAGGACGTTGTTGCCGGTGTACACTGGAGGAGGAGCACACCGTGCAGGCTGAGCCAGCTGCTCCTCTCCCAGCTTCCCCGCAGGGTGACGGGGCTGCGGCAGGACGGAGCCTGCAGGAATGCTGACACGCACTGCCCGGGCTGGGCACACCGGCACCGGCCTTACCGCGCTCACACCCCAGTGCTGAGGGCCCTTTGCCTCCCTCTGACGGAAAGCAAAGGAGACAGGGAAGGGTAAACAGGCAGAAGGCAGCCCGCCTGCACCCCAGTAGCAACCAGGACACCGGTGTCTTTATCTACCCTGCTTCAGGGTGCTGCAATATAGACATGCATTTCCGAGGGGCTGGGGATGACCTCAGCTTCATTTACTGAAGCAATCACAGGTTTGGCTACCCTAGCACCAGCCCACCCTACAGGGATCATTCCCGTGGCAGCTGAAGGACATAGCTGTCTGTGCTTCTCTGCAGGGAAGGAGATCCAGAGTCACCCTCCCAGCAAATCCTATATTCGCTGCTAACACCTGACAAGGCTGGCAGCACCCATGGATGTCTGTACCCTCAGCAGCAAGGTGTGGTGCAACAGCACAAGGCATCTGGACCCCCCAGCTCCCCGCCACATGTAGAGGTTCTGATGTCACCCACCCAGACAGCTGGGACCTGTGCAAACGCTGCACCCCACACCAGCAGCCCCTCAAACATCAGCCCTGCCCTTAGAGACACCTTCCCTCTGGCTCCCAGCCCTGCTGCTTGCCTCCAGGCTGCCCTACACCACAGGGTGACACAAATGCCACCTCGGTGGTGTACTGGGGAGAAAGGGACCAAGACAATCCCAGCCCAACACGTGCAAGCTGGGCTAGAGCACTGGGAGGCAGGATTGCTCCATGGCCTTTCCCAAACATGTCAGCCCTGACCCAGAGCCCTGCAGGTTCCTGTCTGGACTTTGGGCAGGACAAAGTCCCTGTGGACAGGTTACAAGAAGAGGATGCAGGATGGCTATGAGGAAGCTGCAGCCATGTGTCCCTCTAAAAGTCTGCTGGAAATGGAGAAGAGAGAAGAAACAGAATCCTCTAATTTCCCCAGGAAAGGCAGCCTGAGAGGTCTCATCTTACCATCCAGGATATGTCCCAGCAACAGGAGACTGAAGCAGAGAAGACGCAGCCGCTGCATTTTGCTGCTAAGTCTGGCAGAGGATGGGCTGGAGGCAATGGAGCTCCAGGCAAGGAGAGCTGAGCTCTGCACAGCTTCCCTGTGCCCTGCTGCTGCTGCTCCCCACGCTTATATACCCTTCCAGCCCATGGCTTTCAGTTTCTTTCGGAGGCTGGGAGGTTGTAAAAAGAATTACAACAGGCTGGATTTTAATCTTTGAGCAGTTCCCGAATATCCCAGCAGCTGTTTTCCCTGCAGCCAGCTGTTCTGTGGTCCCATAGCCAAACGCTCTCTTGCCCTCTCTGCCAGCACTCAGGCCATAGGTGTCACTGGTAAGGACCAGGCAGCTCCAGGATCCCTTTACCTGGGGTGAAAACACCCCAGAGCCCTGGGACAGCACTTGGGAGTTCTCACCCCACACATTTCCCAGTCTCTTCTCTGAGACATCTCTGGGACATTCACAATAAATATTATGTACTCTCAACCCTTTGATGCTGTGGTGTTCTCACCCCACACATTTCCCAGTCTCTTCTCTGAGACATCTCTGGGACATTCACAATAAATATTATATTACTCTCAACCCTTTGATGCTATGGTGCGTAGAACTTGCCTCAATCCCATTTTTGGGGTATATGTTGGTACCGGGGTGATGTCTGTCTTCCCCTCAGAGTCTCCCTGGCTGTTTGCTGAAGCCTGGCTTTCCCCCCTGCCTTCTCCAGTGCCTGCATGGGGCACATCCGAAGCTGGCAGAGAGAGCAGAGCCCAGTCAGCGCACTCCACTCCAGGACCAAGATCTCACAGGCCAAAAGACAACCTGATTTCCAGGTGTCCCAGAAAATGGTTCTTGGCCAAAGGCAGCTACAGAGCTTCCTGCAAACAGGTTTTCTCCATGCAAGAGCAGAAATTCCCCACGGAGGCTGTGTGCACAGCGCAGGGTGCCAGCATCTCACCCGCTGCGTGGGCACTGCCGAGAGCGAGGACCAGCGCTCCCGCTTTGAATCTTCACAGGAGCACAGGAACGGGGGTGTTTCTCCTTGGTATGGTGACTCACCACCGTGCCAGTGCCAGTGCCACCTGCAGTGATGTCCCTCAAACCAGGCTGCTTCAGTCCCTTGTGAGAAGGAGGGATCACCGGGGTTGTGCAGCCCAGGGAAGGAACGATGGAAGACTCACTGCTGTCAGCATCTGCTTTGTATGGAGTTGGAGATGCCAGAGTCAGGGTCTTCTCTGAGGGGCCCAGGGGCAGGACAAATGTAAAGGCATCAGATGCACCCAGATAAATTCCCATTGACAAAAAGAAAAATATTTTGCAGCAGGGGCAAACAAGCCCTGCAGGAGAGTCTCTATGCCTGCAGTTTTACCCTTGCTCCAGCTTTGGACTCTCTGTGCACCCAAGGGGAGAGCAGTGTACAGACCCCCTTCCACCCGGGCACAAGGCACACAGCTGGGACCCAGGCACCTCAGTGAGTCCCTCATGCTCCTCTCAACAGTAGGAGAGGCTCTGCCCCTTCCCCACTCCATGCTAAGAAGCAAGAGGAGACTCCAGCCATGCCCCCAGATATGGTGCTGCATTTCTGCACTGGCACTGGCACCGGCACCAGCCTCGTATGTGGGGTAATCGGCTCCATCAAGAAATCATTGCCTCTGGCTGCTCCTGTGCCCGGCAAGCCAGCACTGTGGAGAAGAAATCAGGTGGGGGCTGGTGGGCAGAGGAGTAGCACAAACAGGATGTGCCAGCTTAACTTCAGTCAGCACCTGCTGACACTCCCAAGCCAGCAGAAGTCGAGTTTAGGTGGTGAAGGATTAGTGTCATCAGCCCCCGGCTCCCCGCAGGTTTGGGGATGTAGGATGGTTCTGCAACCTGGTCTCTACCTAATCTCCTCAGGACACTGCCAGAGAGATGTCACAGCAGGGAAGATGACAGCTCCTGCTAGCTGGTGGCCAGAACTGCTCCCAGCCCAGAGCCAGCTCCTCGCTGGGGGTTGGTCTGACAGTGTGGAACCCTCTGCAAAAAGTGGGTCCCAAGAGCAGCGGCCTGACCCACTGCAGGTTGGGGGGTGCTGGGGGGGCTGCCCAGCAACAAACCCTCACCTCCTTGCATGTTCAGTGTGTTTGACAGATCTTGGAGCACAACTGAGGGCTGGCAAGGGGTGCTGGGACTAATGTGCTGTGGGACTCGCCTCCAGGCACTGCTGGATCCTGCACCCCATGACAAGCAGGGGTGTTCCCAGCCACCACTTCCCTGGCACAAGGCTCTCCCACCTGCTGCTGGCTCCCAACTGGCTCTCCACCAGAAGGAGCACGCTGAGTTGGGAATACATCCATCTGGGACTAAACCTCTTAGCCACCTCTGGCTGCAGGGGATCCCCATCCCTTGAGCTGCCCACAGCCCTGCCAACAGTGCGGGCAGGAAAGGAGGTTGTTCTTCCTCCTGACAGTTGTCAGGGAGCCTAGTGGGTCAAAGTACAGCAGCTTCACATGCCTCTGCTCCCCAGGAAGAACACCAGAGTGAGGAAAGGGGCTTTCCACTTGCATTGTGAAAGGGGAATGTGGTGGGTTTCCCCCCTCTTACTGGGGTCAATAAAATTTCTAAGAAAAGTGTGGTCATCTCTGAAGTGCATCCCTGTGGCATTCAGGAAGGTCACCCATCCCCCTTGCAGAATTGAGTCTCAGGGGCCAGAAGAGGCGGTGCAGATGGGGAAGACAGGGATCTTCAGGGTGCAGGGCCCCCAGAGGCACAAACAGGCAGGGGATTTGGTGGGGATGAGGAAAGAGCATTGTTCACACTGACTCATTTAAGCCTCTTCCTGAGCAGTTAGAGAGCACTGGAGCTCCAGCCCCAGGGACACCACAGGATACAGCAGGAAGCATCTATGAGCACTCACTCCTGCAGAAACCTCGACAATGCAGTTGTTAATTTAAGTGGAAATCCGAAGGGACTAATGACCACTGTGGGAAATCCAACCCATTGAAATGTAAACACACCATGTGGCTATCACCTTCACCGCTGGGCTCTCCTCAGGGAGCACTGACCATGCTGCTGCCTTCCTGGAGACAGCCACGGGAGCTGCCAGGACAGCTCCTCCCCGGGCTGGGTGGTGGTCTGCCTTCCACCTCTGAGCTACAGAGCTGGAAAGGGCAAAGGGGGAATTTCAGCAAATTCCAGCTACAGCCAGTCCCTGGGGGTGGGATCTGGGCTGGCTGCATTCATTTCATTGGGAAATACTGGGAAAGCACTGCAGCTGCTTCAATTCCGCTTGCAACACCCAGCTCATGGCAGCCTCACACAGCTCCCATCACATTCCCAGTCCTGGTGAAGCACAAGGACTGAGGCTACAGCGGCTACTGTGGGGCTGAGGCCCCCACTGGGTCTCGTCTAGCTGAGTGAACACAGCCAATCTGATTTATATAGAGACAAGGGGGGAAAAATAGCAAGTCACAGCTTTGCCCAGAAGTAGCAAAAATGAACCTGAGAATCTGGTCCAGAAGGACTCAAAATGTTCCAATTCCTTCTCTGTCTCTAATACAGTGTCACTGATGTTTAGGTCACCATGAATGATGAGCAGCAGATCCAAAAAAAGCCTTCAGCTGTGCCTTGCTCTACACTCCTAGGCAAACAACCATCTCCCTGCAGCACACATGTCCCTCTGCATCACCTTTGGGCTGCAGTTTCCCAGCCAGAAGCTTCCTGCAAATAGCACTGAGATGGCAGTGGCCAGGTGGGATGCCCTGACTCCCTGCCATCATCCTGCCTGTCCTTTCTCCAACCCCTCCCTGAAAAGGGATTTCAGAGGGGATGGCTGGGGACAGCTCAAACACCTGTATAAAAAGCAGCCCATCAGGAATTTCCTTGACACACCCTGCATGGCTTGGCAGAGAGGGATGCCTGGTGAGGCTGCACACCCAGTGAACTTGTGGACACATCTACAAGAAAAATGGGACAGAACAAACTCTCGGGGGCTGCCTCACTGCTCTGTTGGCTCTTTGACAATGGGCAGGGGAGACTGTGAAGTTCTTGGTTTGTTGCAGCTCTGGGGCAGGGCTCACATTGGCCCCAGCACAGGATATTCTCAGAATAGAGCAGATGCTTTTTCACAGCCAAGGAGCAGGTCTGCAATGGGGAGACAAGGATGGGACACAAGCAGAGGGACCTTGGGTTCTGGGGAAATGGAAGGAGGAATAACAGCATGAGACACCCCAAAGCCAAGGGTCTTCAGACAGCAAAACAGAAGGTGGGAGAAGGAGGACCCTTGGGAGTTGCATGTAGGCAACAAAAGGGTTGAAAGGAAGCTCTAGGCTGTGCCCTCTAGGACAGCATGAATGCCAGGGGATGGCCAGCTGGGAAATACCTTGGGGCAGGAAGGGTGAGAGCCCCTGTTGGCCACCAGCCACTTTCCCACATCCTCTCTGCTCTCAAGACCATAGCAAACCTCAGGAGAGCAGTGCTGGCAGAGAGAACACCAAAAAACACCTCGAAGCTTTTCTTGGAATCCAAAGCCCCTCTAACACCCGTGCAGCCCCGCAAACAGCCCTTGGCCCCCACGAGACTGCTGCAGAACTGCCCACTCCTGCTGCTGGGCAAGGACCTGGGATGGAGGCATGGAGCTGATGTGCCTGTGTCCAGGTGAGCCTTGCTGGAGCTGCACCTGGCATCAGAGCCCAGAGCACTCTGCTGCTGGCACAGCCCTGGAGCATCGTCTGCACCAGCTAATGACTTGAGCTAATCATTTGGCCTGGGCTCAAGACTTTCTTGGCTGCACTTGTTTTCTGTCTCGCCCGGCTGCTCTCTGCTGTCACTGAAGCCTTTCTGTTCCAGAGTGGCTGAGCTATCCCAACTCTTTGCTCAGCTTTGCTTCATTCCCTGCAGACTGATTCTGTGTCTAGGTGGGCTTTTATACATCTCTTGCCCACCTACTACCCCAGCACACATACTTCATCAACACTGCCTTATCTTTGCACATAGCATCAGGCTTGCCCTGCCCAGGGGTACAGCTGTGTGAATTCCTTTCTGCTGCTTCACTGCTGCACCACCTTAGACCTTCTTTTTCACCTTTATCTCTTGTCCCAGCTGGGGTCCACGGATTCAGCTCCTTTGTAAAGAAGGAATTTTGGTGCCCACTGAGTGCTGCAGGTTGCAGCTCATTACTTCTCACAGGGAATTTCCTTGGAGGTGTTTCCCTGGTGCCGTCTCACTGTAGTAGCACTCTGACCACCTGTTTCACACCTGCCTCGAGACGCTCCCAGTAACCCTGCCACCTTCTTTTCCTGGAAAGCAGCATTCAGCAATAAATCTGGAAGGTGACTGCAAACACCTGTGTATGTGCAGGCATAGGCACACGTGGGCTTACATTTGTGCACCTGTGCCCATGCTCACGTGTGCCTTCCTGAGCAAGGGACAAGCTCCCGTGTGCTTCCAGACCCTGGTTTTTTGGTAAGTTTCAGGGCAAATTAGAACACCGCCACTGGCATATCTTTTTCACCTGTTTTAGCCTAATGCCCTCCTCACATTTGAAGGGAAAAAGCCCTCCTGTTTGGTGTTTTCTCCCACAGCCACAGAGGCACCAGGGCACATTTCACATGCTGGCTCGCTCCTACCATATTCTCATGCTTAGCTGTTTGTGGTTTCAGATGTATTCGTCTAGACCTCATTTCTAGGGAAATTTTGCAACCATTTCACAATCCCCTGACACCACAACCAGCACAAGGAGTTCATCAGAGGCAGGGCCACTGGATGCAGTGTGTCCCCATCAAAAACAGGGCTGCCTCCAGCCCTCCCACGGCACCCCTACCTGACTCCTTGTGTGCAGGCATCACTTCCCAAGCTCCCAGCAAAGCCCAGTCCAGAGCATAGCCTCATTAATAACCTGTTTTACTGCTGTTATGCCAAAGCAGCAAAGAGCACAGAGCCCCTGCTCTGAACAAGCAGTGCACATCCAGGATGGGTCGGAGTTAGAGGGACAGGCTCAGCCCTGAGAAAAGATGCTGTGTCCAAACCAGTGTTGTGCCCATGTTCTCTGGCACCTCAGAACCCCTCACCGCGGACAGATGAGCAACCAGGATGTCTCCACCTTGCTGGGAAACACAGCTACAAGAGAGGGGACTTGCCTTGCTCCCCTGTGCCAGCAGCTCCCAGCCTGAGCAGCCCAGGGATACATCGCATGGGAGTACTGCAAAAGCCTGGACCTGGGGGATGATGTGAGTGGGGCAGGAGAGCACCCTGCCATGCAGCCCTTCCCACCCCACCAAAGCCCATCACAGCAGCCAGAACAAATGAGTTTGGTTATAAAGAATACATTTTATTGACACACATCCTGTCCAAAAGCCGGTCTGGCAGATGGCCGGGTGTTCAGTGTGGAGGAGGAGACAGCTCAGCGCCTGTCCCATGCTCGGGGCCAGTATCTTGGACTTCACAGTTACTTTACACAGCCTTAAAATGATAGACCTAAATGCCCTATTAATAAAGGAATCAAGCCAGATACATACTTGGTAGAAACACTCAGCTATAAGCTTTACTCCAACAAACACACCGCCTGTGCTGATACTGTTAAGCTCTGCAAATCCTATTATTGCATTTATATGATTTAATAGACCTTTACTGACCAAAGTCCATGTTCAAAAATCTCTGCAAGCAGATAGCAGTATGGCTCTAGCACAGTTGTTTAATTTGCTTCTTCTCAGCATGCTGGGGAGAGCAGGTTGCAAGCACAGGGAGATGCCATTTTCCCCCAGCCCTCTCCCAGGGGTCTGTCCCACCTCCACTTGCAGTCTCACCTAAAGGTGTCCTCTACTCAGTGACTTTTCTCACAAAAAGTTTGGCATAGAGCTGCTCTCAAATGGCTGCAGGATGTCTATGGTGAATGTTACAATATCTGCTATTTCCCCACCTTCACAGCCTCACATGTTTTTCACCATATGGGCTTTTCAGATTTGGTAAATATGCTGGTGGTTTTTGGTTTTTTTTCTCCCAGAAAACTGAGCATTTGTCTTAATAGTGTCTAAAGCCCTGACACAAGCAAAGCCAGGGGAAAGAAGAGGGTAAAATTCCACTAAACCGAACAATTTGTTCTGATTTCATTGCAATTTTGTAGCCAGGGGAGCTAAAAGGGTATAATTCTACTAAATTGAACAATTACTTCTGACTTCATGGAAATGCTGTGCCTAAAAAAGAAAATGAAAAAACAAAGGGACAAATTGTGGCTATCTTTATACAAACTACAATGCAACAGTGTACCATAAAACCTGGAAGATTAGAACAGCCCAGACACAGAGCCACACTGTTACCCCAAAACTCTCCATCTCAGCTCTGTTAATTGCTCTGCAAAGAAGCACCCAGCAAGCAGCTCAAGTAGGACCACGGGATTTGGGACCTGCCTCGTTCCCCACACCTTGCAAGCCAAGAAGGAGCAAAGAGATGAGAGGAAAATAAAATGCAGCCATGGTTTATTTGGTAGAAAAATAAGAGAAATCTTCCAGAAAACCCAGCCTACAGCATAAAGGCTACTTTGTGAAGCATAAGGAGAGAGAATTAAAGCCTTTCAGGAAGACTGAATGAAAGCACAGTTTTCACATATAAATACAAATGTATAATATCCCCCAAAAAAAGTCATAGGAAAAGCAACCATCCTGCTAGGCTAAATAACTCCCCTTTAGTGGGAAGCATGTCTGCTTCCCTCTAGAGGCCATGGCTCAGCTCCCACGCCCAGGTCCCCACTTATTTGGCCCTGGGACGAGTGAGGACCTGGGTGCCTGCCTTGCTGAGAGCACCCAGGCACTGCAGGTGCTGGGGGATCTCTGTGTCAGGCATAGCAGCAACAAAGAGGTTGTGGGGCAGAGGGAATCCTCCTCAGCCTGCCCCATCCCCGCCCTGGGGCTGGCGGGTGGGTGGGTGTGTGGTTTGTGCATGTCCATCGCCATTGCCGGGCCGTGGGTCAGTCACCAGTGGGAAGGCATCCGTCCTAACAAAGGCAAGGAGGAGGCCGTGAGATGGAGAGGGTCTCAGCCAGATCATCCACCCCAGCTGGGGGCCATTCCCCAGTCTGACCTGCCCTGCCCGTCCCCAAGCATTGCCTTATCCCAGCAGCTCCAGAAACAAACTTAATTTCAAGGCAAACACAAACCAGGAGAGAGTTGTTCCCTAAGTGCCTCTGTGCTCCAGCCATGGCTCTGACAGCTCTCCCAGGCTTTGCACCAGGAGCTGAACGCCCGCCCTCCCACACAGAAGGATCTAGAATGGGGTGCAGCACCCTCACTCTGCCCACCCCCCTCACCTACCTGTTCAGGCCTGACTCAGGCCCGCTGCCGCCTCTGCTTCTTGGGCCTGCCCCTGGGACGCTGCCCCTTCTTCCTGCTCTTGTCATTCTTGTCCTTCTTGTCCAGCTGCTGCATCAGCTTCTGGACAGTGTCATCAGTGGGAGAGGCACAGATTTTCCTGTTCTTCTTGGTGATGAGCCTGGGGAGCAGCAGAGAGGTTTTCTGGGGGGGAGCAGAGGGAGGACAGGGAAGGATTTTTCTGAAGCCAAAGTGTTCCAAGTGGTCCTGGCCACCACAGGGTACTCACACAACAGCACGAAGGTAACATCCCGACTCGGGTCCCTGGAGGCGGTAGGATGTCACCACGCCACTGATTTCCTTCTTCAAAGGTCTGTTCTTCAGGCAGCAGTCCAAGGCTGAGCTTCCAATGCCTGTGAGTGAGGAGGACATGTGGGATTTGGGATCGCCAGTGAGCCAGGACACCTTCAGCACAGAATGCCAGCTGACAGCACAGGGCTTATTTGGTGTCACAGGTTGGGGGTGATCCTGGGCACCACGCGAGGTTGGAAGCTCTGAAACCCAGTGCCCAGGTCAGACCTGGCCCCATGAATACCACGTCCAAGGATGGTGGCAGGGAAACTGAGGCAGAGAGGGGCTCCTTGAAGAGGCACTGAACCTGGTAGTGAACCTCAGTGTCCCCCTGTTCTTTTCAGCTCAGGGTGCTGCTGCCCCACCAGCCACATGCACACAGACACACTCCAAGCTGAGCAAGCCCTGCAAGCACAGGCACACACCCGCACAGAGCCCTACACACACCTGCACACCCCACACGCCAGTGCACTACAAACACCACCGGCACCCTGTGCACACCCCACTGAGCACCCCCACACCCTGCCCATCCCAGCAGGAGCAGGCAGGAGGGCTCCTCGCCCCTCACCTTGAGCCTGGGTGATGAGGAGGGTGGCAGCCAGCAGCAGCAGCAGCAGCAGGAAAGGGCGGAGAGCCATGGTGCTGCCACGGGCACGGAGCAGGACAAGGCTTGGGAGCAGGACACGCACTGCTGCCTCGTGCTGGGGCTGCTCCTATTTATCTGTGAATTCCTTGCTTTCGTTTTCAGACAGCCTGGCAGGCAGCCCACCAGCCGGCCAAGGGCTGGGTGATGCAGAAGTAGAGGGTGGGGGATTCCTGTAAGTTGCAAGCCCCCCTTTACAGACATGTCCTGTCTTGTTCCCAGCTGCCCATCACGGCGTGGGGTGCCAGGTAGGGGACACGCTGGAGATACAGCTCCCATCACAGCTAGATGAGTTTGTGGGCTCCAGTTTCCTACACAGTCTCACAACCTGCCACTACCTGCTCTCAGAGGGTCGGGTGTTTGTTCCCATGAAATGGATCCTGGAAGGTGGCCAAGCCTTCAAAGAAACCGAAGAATCAACTGTTTTGCTCCCCCATTTGATGATTTGCCTCCAAGCCAAACCACCAGCACAAACAGCAGGTGAGAAGTGGCTCAGGGTGAGCCCACATGAGCCCCCATCCAAGTCTGGCTGTCCTGGGGACAACCCCAGCTGAACAGAGCTGCATACAGCTGTAGGGATGGGATGTGTGAGAGCCAGACTGCAATGGGGCTGGGGAAAACAGCACAGACCATCATATTTTGGTGCTGATATCAAATTGTGGGGAGCTGGGGTGAGTGGGGACCTTGACGAGCTGAAGGAATGTGCTGACAAGGATATGAAAACCCACAGCAGCATAACACGGCCCTGTGCAGCTGGACATAGCTGGACAGATGGGGACTACAAACAAGTGAACCCAGAGAGCTGAACAGGACCCCACAGGAATTTCCTGTGGTGACAAAAGCCATCCAAAGAGATGGCCTTTGTTACTGGACCAAACCCTGAGCAACTAGTGTGACACCAGTCCTGCTGTGGGGAAAGGACAGTCAGACAATTTCAGGTAATCACCAGAGCATGGTCTGGAAGAGAACAAGGTTGGTGGTTTCACAACTGCTTTGGGCCGCCTGTTCCAGTGCTTGATACATCCCCAAGTTGAAAACACTTCCCCCACCATTTAATTAAGAGATGGTGTCCCAGCACCACTCTAGCCCCCCTAGAAAACCCCCAGCAGCAAGTCCCGCTTACCATCCTTCACCACACACTGCTAACAGCCCCTCTTCAGTCACCCTGGCTTCCAGCTCCTTGGACAGCTCCTGCCCCAGTGGAATGGGCAGCTCTCATGGAGTATAACCAATGATAGTGGGGGTCAAACCCCTTTGAGGGCTCTGCTGCCTGGGAGCTGGGCTGTAACACCAGGACCTTCCAGCAGTTTCTGTTAATGACCCTGATAAACAGTCATCAAGGACAAAGAGTAGCCCAGGAGAAGACCAAAGTCCCAATTGCTGCAGAAAGCAGAGTTGTGTAAGGTGCCCACTCCCTTGTTCCCATCAGGAGGGAGAAGGCAATGCTGGAGTCATGGATCACCAACAACTGCCAGCCAGGAGACCAGCATTCCTCTGGGACAGCCTGGGGCAGTGTGCCAGGGCTGCACTCTTGGGGCTTCCTCCATCCCTCACGCATGGAGATCCCATCCAGGGGGTACCCAGGTACACAGACAGGGGGAGGTAAATCCCCACACATTTGTGCAGCACGAGGCTGCTCTGGAGTCGGGCAGCAGAGCCCGAGGCAAGCAGCAGGTTGGGCAGTAGCAGGTTGTCTGCAGGTCTCCAGGTATTTGGCAGCATGGGGAAGGAGTTCCTGTGTGCTGTCACCCATCCCCCTAAACCCAAAGCACTGGTGGCATCAGGAAGGGCAGAAAAAGGAGAGCCATGCTGGTACTTAGCGCCTTTCCAGCCCTTACTTGTGCAGCCTCCCCAGACAGCAGTGCCTGGGTGCTCACAAAGGAGCCCAGGGGAGCTCTGCAGTCCCAGCACAGAGCCAGATTCCTTCCTTGCCCAGTCTATGTCCCACTAAGGCAGCAAGCTCCTGGAAAGTCCCTGGCTCTCTGAGTGTTTTGAAGACACCACAGCAGCAACCTCTGGCCGGAGGCCAGCCCCAAGCACGGTCTGAGCTGCTGAGCAGGGTCAGGGCACGTGCTTCCCTTGCCAGAGGCATCAGTCTTTGGCAATTCCCTATTGCTGTGACTTGCACCTCTAACAAAGCATGTGGATGAGCAAACTCTCACTCTTTCCAGGGAAGGTGGTTGGAGAGGTCCCAGGAGGAAAAGGGGTACTTCGCAATTGTGGACACATCTGCATGCTTGAGCAGCAGGGCCCCTTGGAAGTCAGTCTGGGGGTCCATGCCTTGTCTCCCCTTCTGCCTCCCTTCCCTCAGACCATCCCCCTTCAGTCCTTCATCTTGATGTGCCTTACTCTGTCTCCTGTTCCCCCAGCCCAAGGAGAAAGAAGGGAGCATCTGGCAATGAGAGATGAGTGAGCATCCCTGTTCGCAGGGATGACCAAACTTCTGGGATACAGAGGAGCTGACAGTGGTGGGGGAGGAGACAAGGCTTTTTAGGGGTCTCAAACACCAGCACCCTCCAGCATCTGGCCAGGCACAATTTCCTGCACATAACCCATTGCTCATTTACCTGGGCTCCTGCAGTCACCACCTTTTTCCATAGCTCATAGGTGCAGGATGGAGGCAGACACAGGGAGCGATGCACTGCCAGGCAGGATGCTCTCTGAGGTGTCTCAGCTACAGAGAGCTCTGACCACAGGATCTGTGTCTGACACTGTACAGAGCCATTGCAACAATGCTTTGTATGATGATGCGTCCAGCTACCCCCACGCTCAGGCAGCGCAGCTCCAGCCCTTTCCATCCCTGTGGTGGAGGAATCTCCACAGTGTATGAGGAGGGAAGGGTGTCCTAGGCAGAGACTGTGGTGTCCCCACACACAGAGTGCACAGAAACAGTGGGAGCATAGCAAAGGTCACTTCACAGCCTTGCTCGTGATCCCGTCCCAGGCAGTAAAAACACCGCAGCTCTCTCCAGCCTCCATCCCAAATTCTTCCCGAGTTTGAACCCTGCACCAGAGCACCAGAGCTCCAGGGCCTGGAGTTCATCTGTGGATTACTCCCCTGGTTTCTAGCACAGGTTCCTAGCATCTCAACCCATACTACCAGGAGATCTGTTCTCCTGAGCACTCAGCCCTCTGCTCATTCATGCCTGGGCTGACCATCAGCACTGGAGAAGCCTCCAGCTCTGTCCCACTTAACCAGACTGCAGGGTCTGCTTCCCAAGCAGCTCAGGGCTGGGAGCAGAGGCTCCTCAAACTGAAGGCATCAAGAGGGGGCAACCAATGGGACTGGGAATTTCCAAATCCTTGTGGATGCTGCCTCCAAGTTACAGTCACTGCTGACAGGAACAGGGTCGCACAGCACAGTTCAACCCGCTGACCAGCACATTCCTTCCTGCAGAGGCCCTGATTCCCAGGACCCAGCAGAGAGGTAGTTTGCAAAGTGGAAAACCCCCGTGTCTGGGAAGGGGAGCCGGCTGCCAGGCACAACGTATAGAAATGTCAAATAGCGACACATTCCTTGGGATGCGGGAAATAATTGCTGGAAGCCAGCGGGACACGAGCCGGGCAGGCTGCCTGCTGGCTGCTGCACCGGCCTTCAGCGAGGCCAATGGGAAGAGCAGGATAAGGACAACATGCTGAGAAGGGCAGGGAAACAGCTCCTCGGGAGTGTACGGGTGCTGAAGCCATCTGGGCTGGGAGAGGGTCTTCAGCCTTGAAAAGTTTGCCCCACACACACTCTTCGTTTCCCCAGATGGAAAATTGATTTCCCAGCCTGGTGCAGGTTAACTTTCGGTTGCTAGCATGACTGCAAGAGTGCCTCAGTGGTTTAAGGTAGGATGATGAAAATATTCAGGGGCTAAGTGAACAGGATGAGAGGGACCTTAGCAGATCCTGCACCCTGGAGCAGTGCTCTCTTCCCTCTGCAGGGTGTGCAGTGCTGCACACAGTGCTTGCTCAGACCCAAAATCAAGGGAAAGGGCAAGTTTTGTGTCCCCATGGAAAATGCATGGTCAGCATTACTCAGTTCTCAGCTCCCCTGATCAAGGCACATGGGATCCTTTGGACTGTGGCTGTTGTGAGTGTGCACTATGCCACCAGAACATATAGAGGAGATGGCTCAGAGCCTGTCCCTCTGTGGCATGGTGGAGACATCCATGGGGTGGCCAAGAATTGTGTGGGAAAGGGGACAAGGCAGAGAGTGGGAGACACTTCCAGGAAGAGAGGTTTAACTGCTTAAACCTCTAACCTTTAACTAATCCTCCAAACACAGTGTCCCTCTCAGCTAGTCCTCATCCCTTCCACCAACCACAGGTACAGCCCTATCTCTCCCATGAACACGGGAAGAACATCAATACTCCATCCAGAAATCCCATGGGTCCTTGTATGGAAGCGTAAAACTCAGTGGAAACTACTGGCACCAGCCCAGCCTTCACTGAGAGTGGAGATGTAACGATCCTCTCACGGCAGAGCAAGCAGCAGCTCCCATAGCAGGTCACGGCGTGTGCCAGCCGAGAGGGAGCTCTGGGCAGTGGGAGATGGGAAGGCTCCACAGGCACTGTCCGGGACGGATGCCTGCGCTTCGTGCGAAGGCATCGCTCTGGCGTGTGAATTCACAGAGACTGGAGAAGCTGCTGGGAAAAAAAAAAAAGCTGTCTGAGTGTTTTTGGAGAGGAAACTGCTCCTTCTCTCTTGGGGTGTTGGACTCTGACACCAGGCAGAGCCTCGCTGCAGATGCCCGGCAGCCCTCTCTGCCCCACGCTTCTGGCACGAGCTCACCTCCCTGTGAGCTTGAACCAGAGGAAATAGCAGCTGACACATTCAGTGAATTCATCAGTGGGGCTGGAGGAGCGCTGTGTGTGTGGAGACAGAGGAATTAAAGACAGCCAAAGGGAAATGAAGCAAAACATCGAGAAGGCTCTGGAGATTTTGCAGAAGACATTACAGCAAGCCATAAACTAGGAGCTAAATATGCTTCAGCCAAGACTGGAAAACTCCAGAGAAGGGCTCTGCTCCTTGAAGCGGCTCAGCCAGACACCCCAGCC